ACGAACACAGATACATTGGCATACATTTTTTGTCATTTTGTTTTTTAACCGACTTCAAAAAAAAGAGATTATTAATTCGTCGGAATTTTCTTATTATGTGTGTTAGCGCATAACTTTTGACCACGTTAATCGATTTATATCATTTCTTCTTTAAAGGTTTGGTTTTTTGCTTAAAAATTACTTGTTTTTAAATCTGCTTTAAAATTTACAATTGTTTGTTTGTAAAAATTAGGTAAAAGACGTTATTTGACCAAATATATTAATCGATCTTGGGAGATCGATTTATTTTTTGCCGATTTCTTCAGCATCAATTATTTTTTTTGGATTCGAATCGATTCAAAAATGGATTTTTTTATTTCGATCTGGCGTCTCTTGAAGTAGAAATATTTCAAAGTGTATGAACTAAAGGTGCGCAGGGTAGTATTATATATTCTGACTAGGGAATCCAATCCCGCGTAAAAATCGCAATCCCACAAGCTTTCAAAGTGTATGAACTAAAGGTGCGCAGGGTAATATTATATATTCTGACTAGGGAATCCAATCCCGCGTAAAAATCGCAACCCCGCAAGCTTTAAAAGTGTATGAACTAAAGGTGCGCGGGGTAGTATTATATGTTCTGACTAGGGAATCCAATCCCTCGTAAAAAGCGCAATCCCGCAAGCTTGCGGGATCGACGTCATCAATCCCGTGGATCCACGGGATTTGCGGGTCCGAAAAAATATCATTATTATTTCCTGTAAACCGTTATATTCAAAATTGATATGTAAAAAAGACGATTTGACTTAGAGAAGCTACGTATTTACTTTTAATTAGGTTGACTTTTTTAATAATATTTCCGAAGGAATGTTAAAGTCTTTAAAGTTTCATCGTGCACAATCAGGAACTACGAATAAAATACATTCCCACGACAGCCGGTTCTACGTACCGGAATGACTCGGGTTTTACCCGACCAAGGGCTGTTGTTTCGGCGATCTAACCCCGTTTAGGTCGGCGAAGTATCTCAGAAGTTTTTTGTCCATAGGGCTACATTCGCTACGTTTTCTCCTACTCAGGGCTGGCATCGAGTCAAACCCAGGGCCAGAAACCTACACATGCTGTGTATGCCAGAGACGACTACACCACAACTCCACCTCTGTCAAGTGCAATGCTTGCGAGGGGTGTAGTCACCTCAGAGTCTGCTCAGGACTACGGACACATCGGCAGTGGACCACGTCTCTTGTGGCCCCCTGCTGCTCTAACAGAGCAGCCTCCACGGCTATCCCCAGTCCACCTGAGCAGTCCCACACAAACACCACAGCACAACAACATAATAACACTNGACCACATCACAACCACGACAGACTACATAACAGACACAACCGCACCACCACCCACACGCCGCCGCCAATAACTCCTGGTTCCTCCTACAATCTGCACGGTATGTCAGACCAGGATATTCCGTAATGTGACATCAGTCAAGTGCGACTTTAGGGCATGCTCAGGTCTACGCACCACGCGAGATTCAACGAGGAACTTCGAAGGCCCGTGTTGCGCTGCTCGGTCGCAGACCTCAACTGCGACGGCTCCCGCCACCACCACAGGGCGGCAACCACCTTAGCAGCGCACATAGCCATCTGCGGCAGGACCACACACATCCCTCACACCCCGCATCACCACACGTCTCCCGAACCACATGAAGCTCCTTCAATTTAACTGTAACGGGCTTCAGAGCAAGATCGAGGAGATAACCGTCTTCATGGGAAGGCATGGCATATTGATAGCTGCGGTCCAAGAGACGAAGTTTCACAGCAATTCAACACTGTTGAATTGTGCCGGGTACTACGTGCACCGTCGAGATCGCGAGCGGGATAATGGTGGAGGCTTAGCGTTCATTACGCACCACACCGTGCAGTATCGTCTTATCGAAGCAGACATCGACCGCAGGGATACCACCCTAGAATGTCAGGGCATTGCTATCCGGTCAGGCGATGTTGAGCTCGAAATATTTAACGTTTATATACCCCCTGTCACCTGCTGCCCGGCAGGATACCACCCTGACATAGGTGCGCTCCTCAGAGGTGAAAACCATATGGTAGTAGGCGACTTTAATGCGCACCACGATCTTTGGCACTCAAGCCTGTCAAACGATCATAGGGGAACTGACTGGGCTGAGCAGATAGGCGATTCGACATTCTGCACAATGAACGACGACGCACCCACCAGGATTAGGGGCAGCTGCTGCAGCTCGCCAGACATAACAATAGTCAGCGCTGGTCTGATAAACAGAATATCATGGCGACCTATGCTGACTTTGGCATCAGACCACCTGCCCATAGTCATCTCGATCGGTAAACTAACCGACTTTGCTTCCGCAGAGCACCGAACTTATATTAACTTTTCTAAAGCTGATTGGAAAGGCTTCGCAGAATTTACTGAAAACACCTTCGCTACTCTCCCCACACCAACCGACGTCCACCTTGGTGAACGTAAGTTCCGCAGGGCTGTCACCGCTGCTGCAGCTCGCTTCGTACCGGCAGGATGTATCACCGACCCACGCCCAAATTTTCCTGCTGAAGCGGCTATTTTAGCCGATGAGCGTGACAGCCTTCGTCAGGCCGATCCCGGAGATCCCCATATCAGGGATCTCAACGCGGAGATTCGGGAACTAGTAAACGTACATAAGCGGAAGAAGTGGGAAGAGCATCTGAAGACCTGCAACTTCACCTGTGGTGTGAGTAAGCTTTGGTCAACCGTGAGGTCACTGTCCAATCCGACGAAGCACGACGACAGCGACCATGCTTCGTCGGACCCGGACCGATGCGCGAGCTGTTTTAGCCGGCAGTTCATACTGCATCCTCCGGTGGACAAAGCCAAGAGTCGAGTGACCAGAAGGCTGCACAAACTGCCAAAAACCTGTGCCCCCCTTGCTTTCACTTGCGGTCAAGTTCAGGTGGCAATCGGGAAGGCGAAAGCCTCCAAATCCATGGGTCCCGACGGAATATGCATGCTGATGCTGAAAACTTTTGGTCCTGCGGGGGTAGCGTACCTAACGGAGGTCCTCAATTTGGCCATGGCCACTCTCATCATCCCAGACATCTGGAAGATGGGGAGAGTGGTCCCACTGCTCAAACCGGGGAAACCTGCCAACATAGGAGATTCTTATCGTCCGATAACACTCCTTTCCCCGGTAGCGAAGACACTCGAGGCCTTGCTACTCCCGTATTTCAATAACCACTTGACCACAGCGAAGCATCAGCATGGTTTCCGTAAAGTGCACAGTACAACAACAGCACTTAACGCCATAAACACTCAGATAACTCGTGGCCTTAACTTAGAAAAATAAAACAGGGGTGGTCCTTTCCCCACTACTGTTTAACTTTTACATTTCAAAGCTCCCTCAACCACCAGAGGGAGTCTCGATTGTCTTTTACGCTGACGATTGCTCGATCATGGCGACAGGGAATGGAATTGATGACCTGTGTTCGAAAGTAAACGGATATCTCTCTGAACTTTCTCGCTTCTTCGCTGCAAAGTGTCTAGCCCTCTCCCCTACGAAATCCTCTTCGACCCTGTTCACAACCTGGACGAAGGAGGCCAGGCTACCGCTAGGAATTCACGTCGATGACACCCCAATTCCGACGGTGAATAACCCCAAAATACTCGGAGTAACATTCGACAGCCTGCTCTGCTCTGCGCACGCAACCGCTATTGTCAATAAAGTGCAGAGCCGCAACAAGGTCCTCAAGTCGCTAGCCGGCAGTACTTGGGGCAAAGACAAAGAAACGTTGCTGGCAACATTCAAGGCAATAGGCCGGCCGGTTTTAAACTACACAGCACCAGTGTGGCACTAGTAGGACGCAGTGGACGAAGCTACAGACGGTACAAAATACAGCACTTAGGACAGCGACCGGATGCCTCCTGATGTCACCAGAACACCACCTCCACGATGAGGCAAAAATGCTCCCAATTAGGGAGCACAACACTCAAGACCTGTGAATGCCGTTCTAGGCACACAAACACCGGACATTGACGCGACGGAGCTCCATCTGCCTCGGGAGACCAGAACAACAATAGCCCAACTTCGCTCTGGCTACTGCAGCAGGCTAAATTCCTACCTGAGTAGGTTAAATGCGGATGTGCCGAACGAATATCCGGGATGCGGAGAGACCCCTCACGACTCGAAACATCTCTTCGCATGCCCGGAAAACCCCACAACCCTAACGGCGTCGTCCCTATGGACCGACCCCATAGAGGCTGCACGCTTCTGGGGCTGCCGTTAGTGGAACTCGACGACAACGACTGAGATATCAGCCGATCTGGGCGGGGTTGTAGCCGCTACAACAACAACAACAACGAATATATATATGAAACAATACCCGCTCGCTGTAATCCCAAAACTAGCTAAACAGTGATTCTGTATTATTTAAATTTATATAAGTTATCCTGTTCCGTTTCCGTCGAAAATGGCGTTGAAGTAATATATTCTTAGAGCTGAATGTGGGTCTCTAATAGAACCAGAGTTATGAGTATTAGAAATTTAGCATCTGAACGAAAGCTCAAGCAAAAAATAAATAAATAAAGGAAAGCTAATAAAACCAGCGGTCGCTGAACACGAATCTGAAGTCGGTTTCGCTCCATCACGTCAAGATTTGTTTCTCACCTCAAAACACATTGCGAAAGTCTCCCCCATCGTAGCCTGTGCTGTCGTTTTTTTTTGTTTGAACACATGATTTCCCATGAAGGGCTGAAAATGCTTCCCTGCAGAAGGGCTTACACATTTACAGTTTACAATTAGCATTACAAATGAATTTCAATATCCATTTTAAGTTGCAATAACACAAATGTATTTATTTGACATAATCCTTAAGCAAATACTTTAAAGATGCAAGAACTTTATAAATTAAAGAAGCAACTTTGAATGAACTCCTCCAAGAGGCCTTCTGAAGTACGTCCTACAAAAGCCTTTTTTTACGATATTGTAATATCTCTTGCTCTAATTTTGTAAACTTTTGTTCTTTTAGGTTCATAAAATTTGCCAAAATGCTCCAAGTATTCATTCCCGACTTTTCCACGCGTCCCGTTGCAAAGATTCCAAAGTTGCAATGTCAAAATTCGATGCTGATGTTTACTTGCCTTATAAGAAGCTTACTAACACTTTAAATATTGTATCCGGTCGTCTAAATCGTCCCTTGACGCTTTCTGAGAAAATATTGTACTCTCATTTAGATGACCCCAAAAATCAGGACATTGTGCGCGGGACATCATACTTACGTCTTCGACCAGATCGTGTAGCTATGCAAGATGCTACTGCTCAAATGGCGCTTTTGCAGTTTATATCTTCGGGCTTAAAAAGAGTTGCAGTGCCCTCTACCGTGCATTGCGACCATTTAATTGAAGCACAAATTGGTGGAAAGCAGGATTTAGCTAGAGCAAAAGACCTCAATCAGGAAGTATACAAATTTTTGGCTTCAGCATGCGCTAAATACGGTCTGGGCTTTTGGAAGCCGGGCAGTGGAATTATTCATCAAATCATTTTAGAAAACTACGCATTTCCTGGACTATTAATGATCGGCACTGATTCGCACACGCCGAATGGAGGGGGACTTGGCGGTCTGTGTATAGGGGTAGGAGGTGCCGACGCCGTTGATGTAATGGCTGATATTGCTTGGGAACTTAAGTGTCCTAAGGTGATTGGAGTTAATCTAACAGGAAAGATTAGCGGCTGGACGTCTCCTAAAGATGTTATTTTAAAGGTACGTAGAAGTATTAACATGTTATTTGTTGAATTTTTTAATTTTCGTACACACTTTGAAATTCGGATTTAGGTATTTGTTATGTAACAGGGGCTAAACTTTTATAAAGAAATTAATGAACATTAAAAACAAACAAAAGAAAAATAATCAAAACTCGAAAAATGTCGCACTCCTATTATTTTGTTGGCCACTGTACATACGGCCAGAATTTTTCATGCATGAGCACCGAAATATCAACATTTATGATATTTTTTCACAGACATAAACGAATAGCACGGAAATTTCTACCCGACCAGCATTTTCTGATATTATTGATCATATACGAGTCTTTTTTGAGTCTTCTACACGATTAAAACAATTATAAATGTGCTCATATTCTGATCATAAACAACTCTTTTGTCGGTCGGCCCGCGACTCTTCTTGACGAGTTTTTTATTACCAACATTTCTGATCAGTTTTGACTCTTTTTCGAGTCGTATTTATATTCATACATATAGCTAATTAAGCCAGCAACATTTTGATCAATTTTGGCTATATGCTATAATGTTTATTATTTTTCCATAAAAGTCTAGCTCATTATATAACAAACACCACATAAATCCAGATTTGAAACTTTGTGCAAAAATTATGAAAAATCTGCAAAATTTTAGCTAGATTTTCAAATTTTTTGAGTATGCAGTTTAATAGCCCATTAAATTCTAGGGTAATAATGTGCAAGTCTTAAGTTGCTAAAAAATCGCGTTGGTTTTTCATAAAAAAAATTGTCGAATTTATTTTGTATGGGGAAAAAATGTAATTTGTTAGCAACTTAATACTTGCACATTATTACCCTAGAATTTAATAGGTTATTAAACTGCATACTCATACAAATCTAAAAAATCTGAATAAAAAGTTGAAAATTTAGCTGAAACTTTGCAGATTTTTCATAATTTTTGCACAAAGTTTGAAATCTGGATTTGTATGGTGTTTGTTATATAATGAGCTAGACTTTTATGGAAAATAATAAACATTAAATAAACGAAAGCAAAATAGCCAAAATCTATCAAAATGTTCCTGGCGTAATTAGCTGATCACAAGTGTATGTATGTAAAATCAATAGCATAGTCATGAAGAAAAATTGGGCTTTTGGAAAACTAGGCGTGGCAGCTCCTATACAAACCAAACTTTTCATACTGCATATCTCTGGAAGAGTTCAAGTAAGAGTACTGGAACTTGAAGAAAAACTGGGGCTATTGGGAAGAGGGCGTGGTACCTCCCATACAAACCGAATTTTTCATACTGCATATCTCTGGAAATATTCATGGTAGAGTACTAACTAGAACTTGATATATGAAATCAATCCCATACTATTACAGAAAATTGGCGCTGTTTGAAAAGGGGGCATGGCGCCTTTCAAACATACTGAAACTATAACGTATCTTGGTATGTGCTTTTGAATTGAATATGGCAAATATCTAAGTTGAAAAATATGATTATTATGTCATACTACTACATACATTGCAATTTTCTTACACCACGGCTCGACTTTTATTGTTAAAATTTTACAACAAATTATGAAAAATTATGCCATTAGAAGCAAAGGCAGCTTGAAACAAATGTTTTTTTTATTTTTTTTTTTATTTTGTTAAATAGAAAAGGAAACAATCACATTTCAATCTCCAGCATGACGGTTGCCCTATATTTTGGTTTTATATTTTCAATAAAGCACTTTTCAAGCTTAAGGGTGAGTCATTTCGAGTCTTTTTATTCGCGGAAGTGATTGATTAGTTTTTAATCATCAAAGGCGATCGAAGAAGACTCAGTTAGGCGATTTTAATTAAAGCGTGGCAACGCCGCGTCGCTACATGTCAATAGACAGTAAAATCTGTCAAGTCAATGTGGCATTGGATTTCGGTTTTTGCCTTTTTTGTTTCTTTCTGGACAAACGTCGTCACGTGAAGATAAAACCGAATGTAGTTCTTTAAGCATCTACGTTTATAATATTAATTTTCTCTAATAAATATTAATAAAAGTGAGAGCCCATCAGCTCTATAATTGGTGACCCCGACAAAGAACCACAAACTGCAGAAGATGAGGTCGGCCATCGAGGATAGCAAGGCAGAAGACCATCCGCAAATGGCAGCCACACCTCCAACCGCTCTCAGTCACGAAATAGTTGCAAACGAGGAAATTGTCAACATCTCCGTAAAGCTACCCCCATTCTGGCACGCAAATCCTAACTTGTGGTTAGCTCAAGTCGAGTCTCACTTCATCGCCGCACGCATCAGACACGATGCAACGAAGTACCACGCTGTGATTGCCGCCATCGAGAGCAATGTGCTGGCGCAAATCAGCGATATCATTTTAAACCCTCCTACCACCGACATGTACGCATTTTAGAGCGCTTCGGAGAGTCCGAATAACGGCGAATAAAAAAGTTGCTATAAGAGCTAAAGCTCGGCGACATGCGTCCATCGCAACTCCTCAGGGAGATGGAAATTCTGGGAGGTAACTGCGCCATTAGCGCAGATAAGGGGTGGGTTTTGGTTCGAAATATTAAAAAATTTGGCAATCGTGAAAAATCACCATCTCCATCGAAAACCAGAAACGAGAAATCGAGGAAAATTATTATTAAAACTCTTTTTTAACATTTTCTATTACTTTGTACGTTTATTTTGAGCTTCAGGCCGGCTATTAAATAAAACCTAAATTTTAGTAGTTTTATTTATTACATTTATTGGTGTCGATATTTCGCCTTCAGTCTGAAGGCTTCTTCAGGACTGAAAAACACAAAATACATACATATTTACGTCAAATTACATGAAAACTTCCGCAACTTACATTATGGTGTTAGTAAATATTAACAAAAAAGCTCGAAAAAACACTTAAACATAAACAAGAGAATGTAAGCAAAACGAAATACCGTAAAAGTAAACAAAAATATACAAACAACAATACATGAAGTGGTGGACAGTAGGACGGAGAGAATCTGTATGTAAATCATCATGGCATTGCATTGTTGTTGTCGGACGAAGTACTGGTGGTGGACCGACGTACAATAACATGAACACATGACACCTAGGATATTGGTTTTTGTGCGTGAGAATTAAATTCTGATAGACATGAGTGCAATTGTCTGTGTCCATTTTAAAATTCATCCTTCTATTATTAGGGGTGTTCATGATATGTATCATCTCTAGAATATAACGTTTATTGTAATTTCTCTCTTCCTGTAAGATTGCTACGTTGTCAAAGTCGGGATAATGTCCCATATTTTGGCAGTGAGATGATAAGGCTGTCCTATTATCCATATAATTATTCCTTAATTTTATGTTAGATTTATGTGCGGAAATCCTTGTCTTCCATTTAGATATGTTTGTCCCCACATATACCATATCGCATACGTGGGATCCGTAACCATTGCAGAGTATTCTGTAAACTACGTTAGATTTCTCTTTTTTAGGAATTTTGTCTTTGGTGTTGGTGTATATTTATTTTAAAGTATTGTCATACGTGAACGCTATGTGGAGTTTTTCCCTGTCTTAACATTTTAGAGTGCTTAATCCTCTCTGATTTATCTTTATTGGTCTTGACATAGTAATCGCGGATGAGTTTATTAGTTAAGGCATGATGAAATTCGGTTTTCTCCAGGATTTCTTTGATAATGCCAATATTTTTCTTGTGGTATATCTTATCACTTATGGTGAGTACTCTTCGTATAAAGTTGGTAGCCGTATTCAGAATTGTTCTCCTTGTTGCTTTGCCTGCTTCGTCCCGCTTAAGGCAGTTTGGTACATTTGATACACAACGAACACACACGCAAACAGCAATTTTTTGAAAGAGTATCACTTTTGTTTCACAAATTTGTGTTATATTAGAAAATAACTACCTATTTTTTTTAATGCAGAACGTAAGTAATCATTTCAAAGTTTAACTGCAAAGAAGAAATATTTAAATCGATTTTTTCGCTTTTCATTTATACCAGTTTCAAAAACGATTTCATGATTTTCTACCAAATTTTGGTATACTGACGCGCCCTATAGGAACCTATAACTCCAAATAATGTTGAAATTATCCTTCCTAGATAGCTAAGCTTTAAAATGCAAAAAACCATTTTCAAATCGGTGCACTCTGTGCGAAGTTATTACATTACATATGGGTCATTCCATACAATATTTACACCTCAATATTTTTTTTGGGAGAAATATATATTTTTACATTCTTTATCGAAAAAGGAAGACACCTATTATTTAATTTCGTCATGATCTTCGAAAATCTCGAAAAAAAATTCCCGAAATTTGAACTCACGGAGAAGTATCTTTTTTCAATTGTTTGCAGTTAATAAACTAAGTTAATAAGTTAAGGTATCAAAATGTCCGTAATTACCACGGCTTTTCATGAGAGTGTGAGATAGATTAAAATAAAAAAAAATGTTGCATTAAAAAATCCCCCCTGGTGCGAAATAAAGTCAATTAACATTATTACCTTTTTAAAAACGAAATAAAATCAATTGACATTATTTCTCTTTCAAACATTAAATTTGCTTAGCTTCGCGGCGGCCCGCGTTAGCGCGTCTGGCGCGCACACCACGTCACGCTGGCAGCCCTGATTGGAAGATTTCTGCTGTGTTTTGAGGCAACAACTTGTCTGCAGTAAAGAAGCATATAATTTGTGTTTCAAAAGTGTGTGAAAACCAATCAATTAACTTATATGATCTCGGTTCCGATTTAAATAATCAATAATTGTTTATACCTGCATTTTGGCACATTGGCTCGTTGAATGTTCCATCTAATAAATAGTGTCGTCGTTCTCCTTAGCTGCTTTTAAATGATGTCGTCACAAATTTCTGGCGGAGACATGAATACAGTGTAAGAAAATTCTTTTTCTATAATTGTTTCCTTATAGAAAGGTTGGTTTCTTTTCCACCTTAGATATTCCGAATTCGTTCAAAATATACTAATTTAAAACACAGAATTCTTTGAGTGTTCCTCCGGGGTTTTTGGATATGGACTGTTTCATCAATTTAATAGTGTTCGCTTTATTTTTGTGGAAACGAAAAATGTTTTGCAAGTTATGGATCATTTCTACACTCTTTCTTCAAATATTTC